AAAAGTCTGTGACAGCCCTGGCACAAAGATGATGCATGAAACTGTTGGCACCCACAAAGGAGCGATTCAGGTTCATTTCCTGCCATCAGTTTTTTAAAAATGTTTTTAAAACATTATGGCTCTGTGTCATAGCAAGTTGGTACTGCTGCAGGGATGGCTTCCAAATGCCTCTTTTCCCATTCTGAGCTCATCTTTGTAGAGCCTAGAGCCATGCTCAGGCATCCAGACCTGTGATGTTAAGTAACTGTTCTTTGGGTACTATCAGCAGTTGTTTTTCCAAGATATACCCCACTTAGTTACCACTGGGCACAATGACAACCTTTGTGCCTTTACGTTAGTTTCCTATGCCCCTCATCCAGGTGTCTAAACTGTGCATCTTTTAAATGTCCAAAAACATATTTTGCTTTTTCTTCCAGACCCATTATTAAGTTTGTGTATCTAAAAAAAGAAAAACAAGAAATAGCATCCTGAAATAGTCTGCAGGTACACTATTTGTCATCTGCAGTCATTTATTGTGACATTAGAGAAAGCAGGCATAACAGTATTAGCAGTCTGCGCAGACATTTGTGGATTCTCTAGTTATAACTGTCCCAGTGCAACCTACCATTCTTGTTCCAAGTGCGCTGGCTGAATGGTGATACTGCTCCACTATGTTTTCTGAGCAGCTCTATCCTGTCTGACTGATCTTTAATTCATGCTAACCTTTACACTTCAGTCTTAATCTTTTTCTGACCTCTTATTTCCCTTTTCCAAAATTAGCCTGTTTGCTCTCCTGTGTCAGAGTGTTATTTGCACAGGATTATATATTGAATAGCCCTAATGTTTTGGGCCTGCCGAGAAATGGAATTGCAGGCTTCTGGTTGACCCAATCAGAGGAGCTTGTTAAGCACTTAACACTGAGGCTGGTGAATTTGAGTCACTCTAAAGAGATGCCCACAATGCCTTCTGCCATGGCAGGGGACAGAAGAAAGCTGCTCCTGGGACAAGTGTGCAGTGCCTCAAATGCTACTGTTATGCTCAGCTTGTCCAGTTATTTATGAATGACTGACCCTCTGGAAGGAGGGCAGCTTTTTACAGAATAGGTTGAGGCAAAATGTGCAGTCACCTGCTGGTCCATAGTATGAACGCCATCACAGTGTGAAGGAGGGGACTGCAGATATGGGGACCAGGAAATGCATGACTAGTGGGACCTCCCCACCTCCTCCCTGACCTCCACATTGAAGGATGACTGACCTAACTTGGGCTGCCCACAGGAGGACCAGGTTCAAGATTTGGTTCATGGAGGAAGGAGGGCTAACTGCAATGCCTATGTTTCACTTCCCACAGAGGACCACTTTCCCCCTTCTTCCATTCAATCTGGCAGCAACAAGTCTCTGCTCAATTTCTTATTAAATCGTGCATTTATCCTGGGCCCTAGGCTGCTGGGCACAGCTCTAGCCTGTAGCATGCCCAGGTATACCTTATCTACTGAGAGGATAGTCTTAGAGAGTGTGAAACACTGGTTAAAGTCATCTCAAATATTGCCATTTTAAGTATGAGACCTTTACATTTTAAAAAGAGTGGGGCTATGAATAGCTCAGTGGTAGAATGTTTGCCTAGAATGTGCAAGGACCTTCCCAATATTCACTTGCAAAAATAAAATAATACAGTAAATACAAAAGACAGTATTTTATCTTTGGTTGAAAATGAGTCATGTGAACTAACAGAAATTCCTCCTAATTTTTCTCTTACTTACCCCATTTAGTGAGTAGATTTGCTAATTTCCCTTCGACACGTTTTTCACATGTTCTTTCTTATTCTAAATATTTTTGAGGAAGTTTCTTTGTTAGTTATTTTGTTGGCCTCATCACTTGTTATCACATACAGAGCTGTTAGCAAGTCTAGCTCCTGCCTTATCTCCATCCTACTCTCCAGGGAATTCTGTATAAAGACCCTGCTGGTCCCACTGAACCTGTAACACAGTTGATGTAGCCTCTCACCTTCCACTTTGCTGCCTTATCTTTCCCATCCTGCATCAATGTACTCAGTGTGTTTATGTGAGGAGCCTTGTTGTTAATGTTTTCTACATATAAATCTGTAGCTTTTCTTTTTTTTTTGGTAGTGCTGGGGTTTGTACTTAGGGCCTTCAACTTGCCAGGCAGGTGCTGAGGTAGCGTAGCATTTTATATTGCAAGGGACACCATGTATCAAAGCTAGTAGAAGAGCTGCATGGGATAACTTGTATGAAAGAGACATTTACCACGACTCTTACCATACAGGGGTCCACTTATGCCTGTCAGGGCCTGGCTTAGATTAGGTACAAAATAGATATTTGTTAAATAATTGCTTTGTAGTGTTCTATGTCATATGGACTATGTTTTCAAATAGATTATTTCAAATTTCCCAAACGATTTGTATTTTCCTTAAATTGGGACTTTGGTATATTATGAAAATAGTAAGCTAAACCCAGAATGCTTAGCCATTTTAACTACTTTTGGCAAAGTGAAGGCGATAACATTTTTGTGTGGAACAGAAAACCAACCACATTATGTCTGTAGGAAGTCACAGTCTGTTTATATTCTTGCCCTAATTACATTGTTTTATCCATCTTCATGGCACATATATGCACCAATAGCACCTTAGGATTTCAGTCACATCTCTCAGCACAATACACACTCACCATGAAATGAGGGAGCATCAGTGGATAAAGTGAGCTAGAGCCACAATGCCACTTACTCCATAAGGTTGGGCACTCCAGAAAATGCTTTTACAAATGAGGGATAAGAAGGGTGCTAAATAAAGACCTGTGGTATATAAAGCCTGCTTGTTGTCAGCTTAAGAACAGAGGTAAGGAAATGGATCATTTCTGATGCAAGGAATCAACCACACACTTCCCTGGGATTCCTTTTGCTTCTCCCAGTTGAGTGTATGACAATTGCAGTATCCTGTTAACTTGCAAATATTGTTGTCCTTGAACTTTGTGTGGAGTCTGATACCTGACAGCCAGGAGGTACTGAGCACTTACAAGTGGATTGATCATCTTCTACATGTCTCTTCACACACTCAGTCATGCAGGGTCCCTAAGGGAAGGGCCACAGCTTCCAAAGCTGCAAGGCTGGCTCACTCACCTGGGCAGATGGGTCTGCAAAACAGCTAGTGGTAATGGCTTCCAAAATGATAAGTCCTTGTAGAACCCAGCTAATCAGTGTTCTGCCAACCATTCAAAACTCAAAGTGTTGAAAACCCGACTTTGATGGCTACAAAGAGATTGTGACCTGCTCCCATGCCCAGTGTTGACCACCTGCACGGATGTGAGTAGTAAGCACAGGGGCACTGAGGCTGCTCGGTGGCACAAGCTTTACCTCAAAATGATTTAAAATATTTCTACCCATAACTAAGCTTGGCACTAAGTGGCTGCTTACCAAGTGATTTGGAATCTACCCTTGCCTTTGAAGGCAAAGAAGTAGCTGCAAAATAAGAACAGTAATGATACAATTTTTTACTAGGGGCTCCTTCAGACCAGCTGTCTTCACCTGTGTGTTGGGAATGGTTCCCTTTCAGCCTAGTTCATTCCCTGCCCTTCCATGCAGCCCTCACTGTCATTGCTGTGCTGTATTTCCAGCTGAAAAGTGGTCTGTGTTGTAGAAATATTTGTTTTTGAGACTGTGTCACTATGTAGCAAGATCAGCCAAGACTCTCTATGTAGCTCATTCTATCCTTGAACTTATAGTCCTCCTCTTCAACCTCCTAAGTGCTAGGATTATAGGACTGTACCACCGTGCTTGGCTCTGGGATGTAGAAATAATTTGAAACCACAAAATGTGGTATATGACACTTAAGAACACGAAAAATCTGACCTTGCCAGTAATCAAAGAAATGCTAATTAAATAATGTTATTTTTACTAATCTAATAAGGAAAAAATAATTGTAAGTCGGGGTAAGATGGTCCAGCAAGACCAGCTATCCTCTACTTATGAGGTCGGATTATAAATGGGAATGGCTTATCTAAGGTAACTTGACGATATGTCCCACGATCTACTCATTCGTTTTCTAAGAGTTTATTGTAAATAATCTTTGACCTTTATTAAGTGTGGACAGTAGCATTTCTCAAAATGTGTTAGAACACCGTGGCACAGTATTTCACACCTATAATTCCAGCATGTGTATTTTTGTAAAGGCTCCTAAGGAAAATCTAATGTGCAGCAAAGTAATCCCTCCCCTACCAACTCATAGTCAGCACTACCAGTATTTCCCAGATCACCCAGATAAGAATCCCCTGGATACTTGTTAAAAATATAGATGCCTGAGCCAGACCTAGGCCTACCGAATTTCAACTTTCACAGAGAGAGACTTGGTATTGTGCATACAGTCATGTGTCACTTAATGACAGGGTGATATTCTGAGAGATGCATCATTAGGTGGTTTTGTCATTGTGTAAATCTAGGTGGTACAGGTCAATCATTGGACATGGCCTCTGGATGCAATCAGGAGACAGGAAGAGAACAAAATGCATGTGGCTGCTGCCATCATAATGTAGCCCACTGCTTCCCAATAAACTTTTTTATAAAAAATAAACACAGATCATTAGTAGCATAAGTCATTCATTATCATCAAGTATGTGTGTACATAGTTGCCTGTGTAATGCTTGCATATGAGTGGCTGGGTGGTAGGGGTGCTTACTCCAGCATCACCCCAAACGTGAGTAAAGCATTGCTCCATAATGTTGCAATAGCTACAATGTCAGGAGGTGGTAGGACTTCTTCAGCTTCATTGTAATCTTACAGGGAACAAATGAAATGTCACTATGCATGTGTGACTGTTTAACCAGCCCCCACCCCCACCCCCTGGGTGATTCTCACCATCAAAGCAGTGTGGGAACTACCCCAGCTGTGGTTTTTCCCTGCTGCACACTGGGAACACTTGAAGGGAACCAGGAAGAATTCTGATACCTGATCACTTGTGATGTCCCAGATTCTGTCTCTAACATCTGTGTTCCTCTGTTTGTTTTGTAGGTTTTACAGTCAACCCACCTTACCATGGCTCTCACAGCCCCAGATCAGAACCGACCACACCCACAGGAGAAGAGGACAGGAGGTCACTAGCTTGCTGGGTCTGAGGGACCGGGAAGACGTGGAGGTCAGAGGAATGGCTCAAGCCCACAGTCTGCCCGTCCACATGAGGGAGGGTCCATGGGAAGTTGGAGGAAGGACAGAGCATGTGATGAAGAAGGCAGTTTGGGAAGAAGAGCTGAGGATGTCAGGTCCTGCCAAGTGGCACAACGTAAACCTTGAAAGCTGGAACCAGTCAAGGAAATTAGGGAGACAGATGTCTGAGGGTGATGGAAAGAGACTCTTTCAAGATCTGTACCCATTTGTTCAAGGAGAGAATTTACTGATTTCTCAGAACAAAAAGAAATCCCGGTCGTTGCCTCGAGTTCTTTCCCCTGAAAGCCTGGCTTGCATGGAAATTCCCATTCCTTTAAATGATGGCCATTTACCAGGTGTCCCTAAAATGCCACTATATCCTCCAAATTGTGCACCATATGTGGAAGCCACAAGGAACCCTGAGAAGGCTGCATTTCCCCGGCCGAAGTTCGGGAGACCTGTCAAGCCTCCTTCTTATGGCTCTCACCATCTGTCCAGGGGAGGGGAAAATAGTGACTTTCAGGAAGCCAGCACACAGACCGACAAGGGTCCTATCTGACAAAAAGTAATGACTCCAGGCATGAGCGTGTAGTGTCAGACTCTGGCTTGGAGCCTCCAGTTTATGTGCCTCCACCCTCATACAGGTCGCCCCCCCAGCACATCCCAAACCCCTACCTGGAAGATCCAGTGCCCAGACATGTGAGTGGCAACCATAGTCAGCAGCAGCACCTGACTGAGGAGGTGGAATCAGGGTGTCCACTTCCTTCTGGCCCAGTTGGAACTGGGAACGAATACAGTGCAAGCCTACGATCTCCTCAAGGGGCTCCCCGATACTCCCACCCCATCACTGCCTATGAAGGCTCTGTTCAGTACATCCCCTTTGATGATCCTCGGATACGACACATTAAACTAGCTCAGCCCCCAGGGTTCTGTGAAGAAACGAAGCATGATGACAGGCCATATAATTCTTCTCCTGTCACTGCCCAAGAGTCAGCTCATGGGAAAATGAGACTTGATGATGCCCTTCGACATCCACAGGGCCTGATACCCACATCAGGTGCCGAGCAGGGCCTGGCTTCTGCTGACCCCAGTCCTCGGTGGCTTTGGAGCCAGCTCCCCACAGACGGAGAAAATGGAGTCTTCCTTGACCAAAGAGACCACTGTGTCATGAGAGGACCACAGGCTGACAGGAGAGGTGACCAGCACGGACACCCAGGGGCCCAAGCTCCCTCCCCACACCCACAGGGCCAGAGTACCTGTGAAAGCCAAACAAAGCTCAGAAAGTTTGAAACTGGGATTCAGACCAAGAAAAGTTCCAAGAAAAAAGTGAACGAGACCATATTTTGTTTGGTTTCCATCCCAGTTAAGTCAGAAGCACATCTGCCAGGTATAGATAGGAATAACAATGACCTAAAACCGAGTGGTGCGAGAAAGCCTGGGCTTGATAAGGGCATAGCTCTGCAAGAACAAAGTCTGTTGAGCATGTCTTCCACTGACCTGGAGCTGCAGGCTCTCACAGGAAACATGGCATTCCCAAAACAAGATCTGGGGGAACCGGAGGAAGACAAGCAAACAAATGACCTCAGATTCACCCACCTTGCAAAACACAGAGAACTCAAGTATTCTGGCTCGTGGCCAGGCCACCTGTACAGGGACCAGCAAACCCAAACCAGTTTCCCTGAAGAATCCAAAAGCCCGCAACACCTCCCGGCTGCAAAGCCAGAAGGGCCCAGGAACGTAGCACTGACCCCAAAATGTTTAGACCCCACTGCCTCTGAAGCTCCCCTCCACCCAACATTAGCAGACAGTGACCAAACACAGAAGCCAGAAGCTCCTAACCTCAGGGGTCAAATGTCCCTCAGCCCATCCAGCAATAGCGCTTTTTCTAGGACTTCCTCATCTAGAAATCAGGCATCTGTACCAAAAGCGGGCTCAGGTCAGCCCTGCCTAGATGGGGACCACTCTCCACCCAAGCCGGAGGTGGTGAAAGGAGAGCCTACAGCTGGGCCATGCAATAGCAAACAACTATTTGGTCAGTTTCTCCTGAAACCGGTTAGTCGTCGGCCCTGGGATCTGATAAGCCAGTTAGAAAGTTTCAACAAGGAGCTTCAAGAAGAGGAAGAAAGCCATAATAGTAGCAGCAGCAGCAGCAGCAGCAGCAGCAGCAGTGAGGATAGTGAGACAGATCAGCAGCCTGAAGACTGGGCTGACTGTAGACCAAGGCCCCGGGGCTACCATGAAAGCAGCCAGGAAAGGAGAACCGAGCAGCAGCCAAGGGTGTCAGCGCCAGAGGACCCTGGGTTTCAGGTGGGAAGAGTTAAAAGTAAGTCTGAGAGCTGGAGTGAGGAGCCAAAGCCTTGCCAGCATGATGGTCCTCTGTCCCCTGGTGCCTCGCAGGTGAAAGACAGCAGAGGTGACCCCTTCCAGTGGGTAACTGAAAGTGTGATGGCAGAGCAGCAGCAGCGGAAGCAGGAGGTTGTGAATGGGATGTATGAGCTAGTGGTCAGTCCAGGTCCTGTGAAAAGAACCATGGCCACAAAACCAGCAACTCCATCCTCTCTGGCTGAACCAAGGGAGCCCCTGGAAAGCTGGGAATTCACTGAACTCACAGAAGCTTTAGGCTCTGTGCCACTGAGCAGAGTGGTCCCTCTGGAGGTGGATAGTGGTGAAGAGATGGGCACAGTGGTCGCACTGTCGCTTACTAACAAAACCCGAGGCCTCTCAGCACCAGACCTGCGCTCTGTGGGGCTCACAACAGGACACAAGCAGAATGTCACTGAGCTCGAGGAGGCTTTGGGAGGAAGGAATGCAATGGAAATCCCCCCAAGCGAGTCCCTGCAGGCGAGGGCCGAGAGGATCCTGGGCATTGAGGTGGCTGTGGAGTCCCTCCTGCCGGTGCCAAGAAAGCAGGACAGAGCCAACCACCTGAGCCTGATGCAAATGCCTGCAGCCCTGAGTCACTCATGGAACAGTCACTGCCTAGCCCAGAACCATCAGGTATTCCCCCAGTGACCACTGATGCCTTCTATAGCAGGAGAAAGTGCGGCTGGACCCAAAGCCCCCTGTTTGTAGGGGAAAGGGCACCCCAGACTTCTGAGCCCTCAGATGTGGATAGGGTCCCTGCCAAGCAAGCTACGAGCCCTGAGCCTCAGCCCAGACCCAGAGAGGCCAGGTCCTTTGAGGAAAAGGATGTGGGGGCAAAGCCACCCTTCAGGTCCACTTTATTCCATTTTATAGAAAGGACCTCAAGTGTGGCAGGCTCAGAAAAAAGGTTCCGAAGCCCTTCCAAAGTGATTGAGAGTTTACAAGAGAGGCTGGCAGCCCCTCCGAGGAGGGCGGACTCTGACCGCGTGATGAGAATGAAGGAGGTGAGCTCTGTGTCTCGGATGAGGTGTCTGAGCTCCAGGAACACAGACTCCAAGGAGGAAGGTGAGGACCGGAAGGCTGTGAGAGGCCAGGCCTGGCCCCCAGGAGGCCCTGTGTCTCTGAGCAGTGGTGATCCTCCCTGGAGAGTGGGGCATTCACCCTCCATATCCAAGGGCTTCACCTCTCGAGAAGAAAACGGGCATCCTGCAGCACAAAGGGAGAAGAACTGGGATCCAGATTTCTGGTGCCCAGGTAAGCAGTTAGGGCAGAAGGCACATGCTTGCTATTTGTAATCCTAAATTCATTTTAAAAATAGATTGGTGGATAATACAGCTCTGCCTATTTGGAAGAGAGCAAGTTGACTCTGAACTGTTTTTATCAAAAGATTCAATTTTTCCAGGCATGGTGGTGCACACTTGTAATCCCAGTACTTGGGAGGCTGAAGCAGGAGGAAGGTGAGTTTGAGACCAGCCTAGGCTACATAATGAGACCTTGTTTCAAAAAAAGAAATAAATAATAAATATCAAACACACAGAAAAAGATTCTTCATTTCTAAAGAGCTATCCAGAAGCTTTCTTTAAAAACCAAGATTTTGTCCCATATTCTATAATATCTTCATAGAAGTCATCTATGTAAACAACTGTGTAAAATTATCAACCTAAACAGGGCTTTTACTCTGAAGAGGTGATCATTACAATAAAGCATTTCAGCATGGTTGCCAGCAGGCTGTTAAATCTTGTTGGCGATCCTCGCTTAGGTACTTTGATTTCATTTCACTTACTTTAATTTTCCCTTTCAACCCTGCCCCCAATTTTTTCTGCTTTCACTATCAACACCATTTATGAAACATTCAAAGATTTAGTAGACTAAATTAACAGTTTTCCCTTTCAAACCCTGCCCAGTCTGCCCACTGTCTTAATCCATTTTCTGTTGCTATCACTGAATATCTGAGGCTGGATAGTTTATAAGAAAGAGAGGTTTGTTTAGTTCTCATCTGAAGGCTGAGAAGTTCGAGACTGCGCAGCCACATCTGGTGAAGGCCTCGTGCTGCTTCATCACATGATGGAAAAGAGCAGAAGGCCAAGCACCTGTGGGAGAGATCCAGGGGTGGCGCTCTGGGATAACTGACACACTCTCAGGAACTGCTGCATCCTGGGTGCTAAGTACTGGAGAACTGCCCCTCCTGAGCCAAGTCCCCCCCCACCATCTTCCCGAGCTGCCCCAACAGGGTTCCGCTCGCTTCCAACCCTGCTTTTGTTTTCTGTTTTGAACTCCAAGAATTTAAATGTAGATGGGAATGCACAGTTGTTTCAGCTGAAAGAATCTAGAAATTCTTATTAAGCAAAAACAATCAGCTTGGGGCACCTTTTAAATTTTCCCACAAATGCCCACGTTGCTCTGTTCCTTGTGCAAAACATTACTGAAATAATCCACTTATCATGGGCCTATTGGATCCTCTGACTAGACAAGTTGGGTCTTTGGTGAGGAAGGGAATTCCAAGAATGTAAAGTCATCACCATTGTCGTGGAAAAGGTGTTGCATAGCTCTTGGTGTTAATTGATGTTAAATTGACAGACAAAAAATGTGTGTATTTGTCATATACAACCTGATGTTTTGATACACGCATTGTGCAGTCATTAGCTCTAGCTCATTAACAAGTGTCTTAATGACCACAGTTATTTTTACGGTGAAAACCCTTAACATCCACTCTGCATTTTCAAGACTACAATACATTGTCAGCAAGTATAGTTGCAGACCTTGTGAACTTATTCTTCCTGTCCATCTGGAATTTTGTATCCTTTGACTAACACTGCCCCATTTCCCCACCAAGCACCTCAGCCTCTGATAACCACTGTTCCACCCTCTTCTTCTGGGAGATCAACATTTTTTTATTGACACTGAGTCAAATCACTCAGTATTTATCTTTCTGTGCCTGGCTTATTTCACTTAACAGAACGTCCTCTAGGTTCATTCATGTTGTCACAAATAATAGAATTTAATTCCTTTTCACATCTGAATACTGTTTTATTGTGTGTACACACACGCACGTTTTCATCATCCCTTCACCCATCTATGTCTTGCTTTTGTGAGTAGTGCTGCAGTGCACATGGAGTATGGATGTCTCTTCGAGATACTGATTTCATTTCCTTCCAACAAATACCCACGAGTGGATTGCTGGGTCATATTGGTAGTTTTGTCTTTAATATTTTAAGGACCATCCACCCTCTTTCCATAGTGGCTGTACTGATTTACATTCCCACCAACAGTGTGTGACACTTTCCTTTCTCCACATCCCTGCCAGCACTTGATGTCGTTGATAGTAGCCATTCTAACACGAGTGAAATTTTATCTCCTTGTGGTTTTGATTTGCATCTCCCTGGTGATTAGTGATGCCGAACATTTTTTTCATGTGTTTGTGAACCACTTAGATGTCTTCTTTTGAGAAGTGTCTCTTCAGATCTTTTGCCCATTTTTAGTCAGGTTTTTGTTTCCTTATTGGATTGAATTCCTCATATATTTTGGATATTGGCCCCTTATCAGGTATATGGTTTGCAAATATTTTCAATTCATATTCATTCTCTCTCTCTCTCTCTCTCTCTCTCTCTCTCTCTCTCTCTCAATGTTGGTATTTGAACTCTTCCTTCCACTTACTAGGCAAGTGCTTTACCACTTGAGCCATACATCCAGCCCTTTTTGCTTTAAGCTATTTTTCAGATAGGGTCTTGTTTTTTGCCTGGGGCCAGCCACTAACCACAACTCCTAACTATACCTTTCACATAGCTAGGAAGACAGGGGTGCACCAAGTTTCTTTTATTGAGATGGTCCAAGCCTGGCCTTGAACCACAGTCCTTCTGATCTCCACCTTCCAAGTAGCTGGGACTACAGATGTGAACCACTGTGCCCAGCTATTCTACAGGATTCTCTTTACCCTGTTCTTTGCTTTGCTGTGCAGATTTTAGTTTGATATAATCTCATTTTTCTGTTTGGGCTTTTGAAGTCATTTCCAAAAATCCATTCATCAAACCAATGTCATTTTCTGTTTTCTCCCTGTTGTTTCATAGTTTGGTGTCTTACATTTAAGTCTTTAATCCATTTTTTTCCCCAACAATCTACTTTTCTCTTAACAATAAGTAATTTTTTTCCTAATTACCACACATTCATCATGAGAAGGTTTCATTGTTATAACTCCATACACATGAACAGTGTACTTTGAACAAGCTCACCCCCTCCATTATATTTCCATTTCACCCTCTTTCCTCCCCCTTTTTCAAACAGCATTTGGTGAGTTTCATTGTGCTGGCTTTGAACTTGTACATGTAGAGTATTTCAGTCCTGTCCCCCTTGGTATCCTTTGCTTTCCTTCCCCCCCCCACCTCCTCTTGTTGACCTCCTTCAGACGGTTCCCCTTTCATGTTATGTCCCATTATTATTATCATTATCATCACCATCGTTTCAGGTCTAGGTCCCACAAATGAGAGAGAACATGAGATACTTGGTTTTTAAGCTTGGCTTATTTCACTCAACATCGTGATCTCCAGTTCTGTTCATTTTCCTGAAAATGACAATTTCATTTTTCTTTTTGGCAGAGTGTACCTATACCATGTTTTCTTTATCCATTTGGTTTTTGGGCTAGAGGTGTGACTCAAAATGGTAGAGCCTGCCTTGCAAGCTCAAAGCCCTGAGTTCAAACCCAAGTACCACCAATAAATAAAAATTAATTAAATAATTAATTGAAGTCTTTAATCCACTTTGAACTGATATTTATATGGTGCAAGATAAGGTCTAATTTCATTTTTGTGCGTGTGGATATCCAATTTTCCCAACACTATTTATTGAAAGGACTATTCTTTCCCCCTTTGTGTTCTTATCACCTTTGTTAAAAAGAAAATTCATTTCCTATAAGTGCACAAATTTATTTCCAGGCTCTGTATTCAGTTCCATTTGTCTGTCTCCATTTTTATGTCCTACACACACTATTTTGGTCACTGAAACTTAGTCATATAATTTGAAGTCAAGTAGTGTGATGCCTGTAGGTTTGTTCTTTTTGCTCAATACTGCTTTGGCTATTTTGGGTCTTTTGAGGTTCCATTCAAATAATAGGTTTTTTTCCCCCATTTCTGTGGTATTTTGATTAGAGATTGCGTTGGTTCTGTTGATTTCTTTGGGTAACATGGACAGTTTGATAGTGTTTATTCTCCTAATCCATGTGCATGGGATACCTTTCCGTTTATTTATGTCTTCAATTTCTTTCATAGTATTCTAAAGTTTTCAATATAGAGGTCTTTTCTTAGTTAAATTTATTCCCAAGTTTTTTGTAGCTTATCCTGTAACTTTACTGAATGCCTTTATTAAGTCTAATAGTTTTTGATGGAGTCTTAAGAATTTTCTACATGTAAAGCCACATTATCTGAAAAACAGGGGTAATTTAACTCCTCCTTTCCAATTTGGATGCCTTTTATTTCTTCCTCTTTCCTGGCTGGACTGAGTATGACTTCTAGTACTGAGTAGAATAGAAGTGGTAAAAGTGGGTATTCATGTCTTGTTCCAGATTTTAGGAGAAAAGCTTTTAATTCTTCCCCATTCAGTATGATGCTGGCTGTGGATTATGTATGACCTGTGTTGTGCTGCAGTACATACCTTCTGTGTCTCATTTCTTGAGGGTTTTATCATGAAAGGACATTGAGTTTTGCCAAATGCTCTTTCTGCATCTGTTGAAACAATCATATAGTTTTATTCTTTGTTCTATCAATGTGATGCACCCCGTTATTGATTTGCATATATCGAGCCGTCTTTCCATCCCTGGAATGTACACCACTTGATGGTGATGAATGGCTTTTATGATGTGCTGGCGACTTTGGTTTGCTAAGCTAGTACTTAGCGAAGGATTTTTGCATTTATGTTCAGCAGGGATACTGGTCCATAGTTTTCTTTGTGTTGTTGTATGCTTGTTGGTTTGGTGTCAAGGTATTGCTGATCTGGTAGAATGAATTTGGAAGTAGTTCTTCATTAATATTTTGAGAGTTTGAAATGGGTAGTATCTTCTTTAAATGTTTTATAGGGCTCAGAGGTGAAGCTCAGATCCTGGGCTTGTTGTTTATTTTTTCATTTTTTTCTTTGCAGTGCTGAGGATCAGACCGAGGGCCTTGCACATGCTATGCAAGTTATCTACAAAACAGAGCCATGTCCCCAGACCTTGGGCTTTTTTTTTTTTAAATAATAGTTAACTAAAAACAGAAATTTTAATTGTCTTTTTCTCTTCTCCATCAAATGGCCAAACTCTACAAGCAGAGAGCTACTCATGTTGACAGCCACCTCAGGCAGCCAGCCCCAAGTCACTGGAGCACTTAGGGACGATCTCCCATGCTTGCCATGGGCCTTTCACATGATGGCCACCAGGCCTCAGTAGTCAAAACCAGCAGTTTCAAGAGGAATACAGACCTCATGCTTGCAGTAGTAAAACTGTGGACATATGTTCACTGTTGCTTCAAAAATTAGTATAAAGCCTTGTCCCCATGTTGCTGATAGGCTCCTGGACTTTTTTTCCTTGGATGTGTTTTAGCATTTTAGATTCAAGATTCCTCATCTCTATGCTTTCTCTACCCCTGCTTTCATTATGCAGTGTGCTCATTGGTTCTGAATGTGTAGCCCATGTGAATTTAGAAACTGTCTGGAACTGTGAAATCAGATCATACCATGTGCACCTGTAGGTACTTCCTGCACACACACAAACACACACACACCCTTCTAGAACTGTGTTGTGTTGTAGTACCTTTTGTATTATAAAGTGCTTTTAAGATTAAAGATGGTGACCCAAACAATGTACACGCATGTGAGTAAATGTAAAAATGATTAAAAAAAAAAAAAGAGATTAAGGGTGGTCATTTCAGCTAACATTTTTCTAGTGGTCTTTCTTGGCTCCGGCTAAGAAATTAGTAGTTCAGAACTAGTTCAGGTCACAGAATCTCATTTCTGCTGGGTGGCTTATGTTCCAGTTTAGAAGTGTAATCACAGACTTGGATAGTATTCTAGCAACCTCTGTCACATACTCTTTTAATGGGAGCAGAGAAGGACAAAAGAAACATCTGGCTTACAGATTCAGAGGTTTCAGTCTACAGTTGCTTGGTTCCATTGCTTTTGGGACCTGTGGTGAGGCAGCACACTGTAGTGGGAGTGCATGGCTGGCAGAGGAAGCTTTTCATATAATGAAAAGGCACACCCCATTCAAGGGCACACCCCAATTTCCTAATTTCTAATTTCCTAATTTCTTTCTACTAGGTCCCACCTTCTAAAGGTTCCACCACACTCCAGTAGTGTCACCAACCAAGAACATTTAGCACATGAGCCATTGGGGGACACTTATGCAGAACATAGCACCAGGCAACCCCACACTACTCCCAATACATGTGCTGCCCAACACAGTCCCATGTGGCTACTGAGCACATGAGATGTGGATGCAAGCTGGGCACTGGTGACTCACACCTGTAATCCTAGCTACTCAGGAGGCAGAGATCAGGAGGACTGTGGTTTGAAGCCAACCCAGGCAAATAGTTCCCAAGATCCTATCTTGAAAAAATACATCATAAAAAAGGGCTGGCAGAGTGACTCAAGGTGTATGCTCTGAGTTCAAACCCCAGTACTGCAGAAAAAAAAGAAATATGAATGCAATTTGAAATGTATTCTAAGTATAAAATACACACCCAGCTTTTAAAGATAGTACAGAAAAAAACCCCTGAAATATCTTAGTAATTTTTGTATTTAAATTTTACATGTTGGAATGATAATATTTTGGGTATATTTGGTGAAAGAAAATATTTTATTAAAGTTAACTTCATCTGTTTCCTTTTATTTATTTTGATGTTGCTACTAGAAAATTTAGAACATTACATGGTTCACACTATATATTTTTGTTGGGCCTAGACTCTCCAACAGAGCCGAAGAAAAAGCCCATTGTTCTAGTAAATTTTTTTCATGACTCCCTGTGTCTGGGTCCTTAGCTTCAACTTTGGGTCTGTGGGGTGCAGATGCATTCTGTGGGGGTGTCTCCAGTGTACATGCACTGAGGAGAGCTATTCAGTGTGCACTGTCTACCTAATTTGAGGATTAATGGGTACCCAGGCTTCCTGCTAGCCGGAAATATGCCCTTTCCATATTCTTAGCCATTTGTGGCCACCCATTTCATCCTCAATGAAGGAAAAATTATCTTTGCTCAGAGGAGGACCCTCTTAGAATAAGCAAACCTTGAGGCTGATTGAACCCCAAAGTACAATGCTCAGCCATGATATCTCAGGTCATCACATTCGTGTTGCCCAGCATAAAATATCAGGAGGTGCTAACTCAGGAGGACTCCACTTCTTTGAACCAGGTCACATCATATGAGTGGGCACAGGCTGCTTTCTTAAGTACAAAGTCTGTCCCATCTGTTACCAGCAGATAGTGTCTAAAGACCCTGGTCAAAAGATTTTTAGGCACCTGTGGGGGGGGGGGGGGGAGAGAGAGAGAGAGAGAGAGAGAGAGAGAGAGAGAGAGAGAGTAAGTAAAGTGACAGTAAAGTTTACTAAAGTGAGGAGAAATCACTAGAAAAGTCAGCAAGAAGCCCTGGTCACTCTTTTTAAAGGGCCTCATAAGTCAAAGGGCAAATGGCAGGAAAAATCTGGGCAGTCTTTGTAGGATGGGCTAGAGCGATTGGCAAGTTTGATTGACAAGGTCTTGTCATACAACATGGGACACTCTGTGCATGTACTTATGCTAACTCTAATTGCAAGTACGTGATGTAACCAAGTGTTCAAGTTTTAAGCAGAAGGCTTTTACCTGCGAGGTAATCTGGAGTGGAATTCCCCCAAGGCTTCCTGTCTTTTGAAATTTACAACTGCAGAGGATTTACAATTGAAGAGGACTCTACAACTGCTAAGATTTTACAATTGAAAAGAAATTTATAACTGCAAAGGATGGCATTGGGCTGAGATAATGAGTTTAGCATGAAATGCAATGAGCAGGGTCCCAGGGCAGCCCATAAGGTCTGCTCAGAGTGTCCCCAGCACTCTCCTAGTCACTGCCATAGTACTTAGCACTTCATAAATATGTGAAGGCCAAGTTGAAAGGGTGTGAGAAGGACATGGTGAAATATGTAGCTGCTGGACAAGTTGGAATCTATGTGGCCTTCACAGTGCCTTGTCTGGAGATGGATTTCAGAAGATTGTTTTGTAATTGTTTTTCTGTCAAATTATTCCATCTTTCCAGATCTTTTTTTTTTTTAAATGAATTGCCTTTTGTACTATGCTGAGCTTCACTTTTTTTCTTTCTTAGCTTTATTGAGGTATGTTGGCAAATAAGAAACTTGTATCCTTAAAGTATACATTATGTTTCAATATACATATATGTCTTGAAACGAGTACAACAATCAAGATAGCATGGATCATGTCACATAACATTTTTAAGTGTTGTAAAAACATTTGAGATCTACCCTCTTAGCAGGTGTGGTGTACCATAAGGCATTGTTAACTATAGTCACTATGCTGTATTTCTGGTCTCCAGTACTTGTTTGTCTATAATTGAAGGTTCACACTCTTTGCCAATATCTCTTTCCCCCCACCCCTATCTCCTGGTAACCACCATTGTATTCGCTACCGAGTTTAACCTTTATTAAAGTTCCACATGTAAGTGAGATCTTGTGTTGCTTGTCCTTATCAGGCTTACTTCACTTACCAGAATGTCCTCAAGACTCATCCATGTTATAAATGACAGAATTCCCTCTTCTGAGGCTGAATAATATTCCATTGTGTGTGCTTATAAATATAGATGATTTTAGTTCATTCCTCTGCTGATGGACCTTAGGTTGTTTTCATCTCTTGGCCATTGTGACTAGTGCCGCGGTGAACATGGGAGTGCAGATGTCTTTTTGACATATTACTTTTTTTTTTTTTTAGATATATACCCAGTAGTGACATTGCTGGATCATAGGTTATTCTATTTTTTATTTGTTTTAAGGGAAATCCATAAAGGTTTTATGGCTGTACCCCTTCCACATTTCTTAAACAGTTTCTCTTAAATATTTGGAACCCTTGGAGCTGCTATGGCAAGAGATTCTGACCATAGGAGCACATGTGTGAACCTCAGGTTCACTAAGATACAGAGCTCTGTGAGTCAAGGTTGGCAGGCTTAGCAATACCCACCAGCTAAGTGGCAATTTAGGATTATTACACCCTTCCATGTGGTGTCCTGATTTGGAAATGCAGGTCATCTGAGCCCAGTTTTGGATTTTTCTGCTGCAGACTGCAGAATGGATCAGTATGGTAGCCCAGACTCAGACACACCTGTGTGAGAAGGGCCTAGAAGTCAGGTGAGCATCCAGCCCTGGGCCTACCTGCTGGCTGATGGCTGTTAGAGACAGGAAGTGTTTCATTGCTGGCTACACAGTAAGGGTTTCAAGATCCCCAAGCCCTGAAGGGACAGAATTTGAGGACAAAGATAAGTATTCTCAGGCAAGCTTTCATGACAGTTGTAATTTATGAGGAAAAGGAAATAACCCCCCATTAGCATCAACCAGGGGCATTACTGCTGGTTAAGAAATTGCATTCATAGCTAATGGTATTCCTGTGAACAATAGGAAGGGCCATCAATATATTAAGCAAGTAACATTTTCCCATCTGTGTTTGGGTAACAACCATACAACCATACATATTCCTTGAAAATAGCCTTTTAATAATAGTTTTTCTTTTTTTTTCACTCCTTATTGGAAACGAGATTGCTGAAATGTCTGAAACTGAATTTTGCTCTCTAAACAAAATTATTTATAGCCAAGAATTAAACAGAAAGCATGCTAGTTGAATGTAGGACAACTTACTTTCTTTGTTTCTCTTTACAGATTCATATGACCCAAGCAGAGTGGAGAGGGTGTGATGAAGCCTGGCTGGGACTGCTCTCACTCATAGCATATTCTCTCATCTAGTCATTCCGCCCATCCTGCTCCAGCAGAAGGGGGAAACTGCTGGGTTTTAGCATGCTGATTCCCCACTTACCACGGTCGGTAGGAAGGCTCCTCTCTGTACAGAATTGCTTGTGGAGATAAACAATAGTCCATTGAAACCATCTGTTTTTATAGCATGAGGATCTAATACCTATATTTAGGAAAGAGTTTTCACATAAACTCTCCTTACCGATGGATTTGGCCAAGTTCACAAATAGTTTGGTGTTAATCTGGTTCTGTGGGAGATGTAATGAAAGGTTTTGAAAAGACCATGAGCGTTGCCAGCTCCCCTTCGCACATCCATGGCCTGCCATTGGAGGTCATACTGAGGAGTTTGGGATTAGGCTTTTTTCCTTGTTTGGGCACTTTCAGTTCATAGGAAATGTGAATGAAAATACACAGTTCATCTCTTATCAATTTGGCTTTCTGCTGCTGGAAGTAGCTTTACTAATAAGTAACTTACCATCAGACAATAAAAGCAATATCTTAAGTTCCTAAAAGGTAACACTCTACTGTAATATACTAAGGAGTATTATTTATCGGGCAACATTGAAATTCTTCGATTGTTTGCAAACTTGCCATTGTCTGCTTTGCACCCAGTATTCTCTATTTTTATTTTCTGTGTGGATGTTTAGAAATTCTTTATATAAAAAGTAATTACTGGTTTAAAATAGACCATTTTAACAAAGTAACTTTATTTCTTTTTACAAAATTGCTATTTTTCTATGATGTAAACAGTCATTAGGTGGCAGATTTTTAAGGAAGTGTTATTTTATTTAAGATTCTAGCCCTTTATGTGAGAGGAACCCACAGAGGGTCTGCTTTTGCTTTAAAGCAAATACCCCTGCCTCATTCTCAACTCTGATACTTTTATTTCACTTTCGAAAGTGTCGATGTAGAGCTATCACAGGGTTAATCAATTTTTCTACAAATACAGTTGTAAGGTTATATTTGAAAACAGCACTCTTAAAATCATCTAACATCCTTAAGATAATTTTTGCTGCCATATCATCTAGAATTACCAAAAAGCATAGTTTCAATTTTTGTCTCTGGGGATCTTCCCTGAGATCAAACTTCCCTCTCTTCACCTGCCCTGCCCCTTTGAAGAAATACATATTTTTATCTAGAATGAGCCTGAATTAATCTTGCATATTTTTTAAAAAGTGCTTGGAGAATTATATACTTGGCATTATATATATTTATGTGTATTTATGCCATTATAAAAGTATTATGAGGTCTGTGTATTCGACTGTGTTTAGTATTGCATTAAGCTGCACAACGTTTTTGCATTTTTATGCATTTGTCCCTTTCTAAGTAAGGTATTCACGTTAGTTAATATTTTCTAAACTGCTTCTTGTCTCCTTCCTTTTCTTCATTCCCTTTCTTTCTTACCTTCTTTCCCCTTTTGTTTTTCCTTCTCTTACTTTATTAATTTTTCTTGTGAAATCACCATATCTATTTTTCAACATTTCAACAGTCGGCTGGTCTGTCCTTTGACCCTAAACTGACTTGACTGGGCTTTCACAGTCTGTTCTTATCTGCACCATGTGATTTTATTTCAGAAGAACCTGATGGATTTGGACTGTAAACAGACAAAACAGAACCTAAGTAATCCTGACAGATCTCCTTGAGTACACTTACCTGCAGTCTTGGTTCCCACTTGTTCCTCAAGGCAGTCTCTTTCCAAAACTCGGCTCTTAGGAAAAGTTGTAGTAGGCTCTGATTTTCACAACAGCAGGAAGATGAACCATGTCTCTTTCCAGGAAAAGTTTGGTGGGGAAGAGGTCAGTCGCTCTGGCTGGGGGAACATGCAAGTGATCAGAAGGCTAAAAGAAGCTGAGCCACCTCCCTCTTTAGAAGCAAATGAAAGAAACTATGTGTATATATACATATATTAGCTTTGTTTGGACTTCCTCTTAAGTATTTTGATACCATCTAAAGACTTATTTTAACCAAATGAATTAAATTTTAGCTTATTCTGCAAGAGAAAGATCTGCAAGAAAAAAAAGTTGTTCCTTATGTATATCTCAAATAATCCAAAATATGATGCTTTTCTATTCTGTTTTATTCTAAATCATATCATCTTTCTGGAACAATCCTGAATTTAATCAAAATTATTAATATTTATACTTTAACCTTAATTTTTGTTGATTGAATCTTTCGAGGGGAAAAGACTGACTTTAAAATCAGTAACTTGAAAATTCGACTTTTAAACTTTCATTTTCTAAGGTAAATAATAGTCTCTAGTTAAAAATAGCCTTTTTTTGTGTGTGTTCGTCACTGTTTTTTCTTATACATATGATTTTCTTTGGTATTTAATAATTTGTAGCTTATAAAATTAAAAGTTTTATTTTGACCATTTAGACTAAAAATTGTATGAGGAAGTACATGTGAAATATGTTTGTCTTTCTGATTGTGTAAAAAGAGATGAAAGTGGTGGTAATTTGGCTTCAGTTGCCTTTCTTTGAAAAAGAATCTCGGAATGATCAAAAGGCAACCATGTGTATTACCCCTTTCAACTTACCGTTTCACAAATCCCAGAAAACTCTTTCCTGAAGGTGAAGCCAGCCCGATTGGATCTTCAGAATTTCTTCCATGTTGATTATAACTATTTGGATTTCTTTCTGAAAATATCCTAAAAGATGGATCTATCCTTTGATACCCTGGTCTCCCTGATGAAATTGTAGGTCTAGGTTTTGATTCACACAGGAATTCTAAGTAGAACTTTCTCTGTTCCACTTGGCTGTTGGCAAAGGGCTATCATTCATGAAAGTTCAAGTGTCTAAACTCAAATGACTCTGAAACTGGACTCTGACCATCTTTGCAGCAGCAGAATGACTTACTCTGGCACCATCTTGGCTTAGGGCTCCTAAGGAAAGTGAACAGAGCTGATCTACTGCCACCAATGGACATTGACACTAACCTACTATTTCATCCCCAAAGATGAAGTTTGCCTATTTGGTTTTATTTTTGTTTGTTTGTTTAAAATGATTAAATAATACACTATTAAGTGTCAGGTTAACATCTCTCTCAGAGTGACCAGCGCAGCAGAATTCTCTGTCTATAAATACTTGAGCTTAGAGAAGAAGCACTTGCGATTTCCAAAGTTCTGAGAAACAGTTATGCTAGTGTTTGTGAGCATTGTTCTGCCACATTCAACTGTGCAGGGGAGACCATGCTGAAGCAGAGGGGTGAGGGGTGGGAGCATGTTTCTGGAGCTGAAGCTGTTGCTGCCCTGGGGAGGTTGTGTGTTATCTTTTATGCTTTGTTTTTTACTGTGATCTGTATGTGCATCTGTGGGAGGAGAGTTACTACCCAGGACAGGATTTAAGAGACACATTCCAAATGACCTTTAAGAGTCAGGATGGTGGGAGGTCCTTTTCTAGGAGTGTGAGTTGGTCCACTCTGGGACCAATCAGGCAGAAAAGGGGGAGATGATAAAATGCCATTAAAGGAAGAATGGTGCTCAGCTCAGCCTCTATGTTTTGTTGAAAAGAAAAGGAAGGGAGTGGTTGAGACTATAAATCCAGACTGAGGCCTCTTGAAAGGTCCCTGTGGTCTAGCAACCTGCCCCTTAAAACAGTCCTTGGGTTCATCCACAGTGTGGGGAGGCCTGCACAGCTCCTGCACATTCCTGACCTTGATTTTGGAAAGCACCTGTCACAATTGAGTTCATTAATACAGAAGGTCCGGGGTGGGAGGGTGCTTTTTCTGTGGTCTCTGTCCACTGACTGAACTCAAAGGCAAGCTGGGATCATCTGGCCATTTGTTCTGAAAGCTTGACTAGGGGTGAAACAGAAACCTTGTCCATGCAGAAGTCTGGCACTGCACAGACATGCAGCCACACCAAAGGAGCAATGAAATGCTTACTTATTCTACCTCCCTGTACCTATGTCCCACAGCAGAGCCTAGATGTGTGACACTCACTGTCACAGAGCAAGAGGGAGATGAAGACAAGTTCGGGGTGAGAAGCAGAAATTAGAAATGAAAACCATGTGTCAGAGCCAGAAGAAAGGTAGTAACCCCAAGATTATATCAAAATCAATGACAAAATCAAGCTAAGCAGAAGTGGCACATACACAAAAAAAAAGCCAGGCATAGTGGTACCTGACTGTAATTCCAGCTACTCAGGAGGCAGATGCAGGAGGATCATGAGTTCAAAGCCAGCCCAGGCAGCGCTAGGAAGACCTTGTCTCAAAAACAAAATACAAAAGTGCTGTGGATATGCTTCAAGTGGCAGAGTGCTTGCCTGGCATACACTAGGCCCTGGGTTTAATCCCTAGCACTGCAAATAATGATAAAATTTGGTAAAGACAAGGCCATGCAACCCCACAGAGACTCTTATCTGCTTGTCCTTTCTTTGGGCATCCTTGATACCTAAGATACCCAGGAAGACAATTGGTAACAGCCAACTGCCCTCTATGGTCATCATCTCCACAAGGCAGCCCAGGAGAGACCCTAAGGTGATGGGAGGTGAAGGTGTGTGAGGAATAACCACATGGGGAAAGCAGAAGCAGAACAAAGTAGCAGATAAAATGCCAGCAAAACACAAATGGGTGTTTTCAGGAGCTCTATTTCTTGGCATACTGTAAATACCCTTACTGTTTCGGAATGGCTGGGCTTGCTTGCTCCCCGCAACACATGTGCCAAATAGATTGTGCATGATGGTACCCACATCCACTGTTATTGGCTATGGGAGCAAGAGCTGCCCTTGATGTCTAAAGCCAATTCCAGAGTGCAGCAGGCTACCTGGGAAACAGCTCAGGTGATATGGCCAATCACAGACGAGGCCACAGAGTACCAGCACCTCTGGTCTCTGCTGAGTGTCTCTTGGGCCTTGCAGGCCCTGTTTGTGTCTCTGTCAAAGACTTGTAAACATGGTGGTAAGAGGCCTAGAGTTAATTCAGGAGCTGGGTATGAATTTTGGCTCCCTCACAAACCATGTGGCCTCGTATTTGTCACTCCTTGGCTTTTCCTCATCTGCCTCTCCAGCTTGAATGTAAGAATCTGATATATATATTTAAAAAAAAAAAAAAAAAACCTCTGGCATGTTGTAGGTGTTCAAAGCACGGAGAATGGAGTTAGACCTCTACCTTATAGGGAAAATATTTGTTTGGCAGCCTGAAGGTTTTAAAATCTGGGGCTTGCTCTTTTAGGGATTCCTCCTTGTTCCCAGCATGGCACTTTTGGAAACACATGGAGACTGCCCCCTCATGCTGTCCATTTGCTGTTACTCTGTCTCTGAATTTTAGAAAATGAGTCCTTTTTTTCCAACTTAGCCTTCCACCCTCTCCCAGTAGCTTTTCTGAGCTGTTTTCCGCATTTCTGCCTTCAGTCCACATGTGTGGGGCTCAAAGCTTCCCTGGTCCTCTTAAGTTGTCTAAAATTTCAGATCACATTAAGATGTGGGTTTTAAAGTAAGGACTGTGCCCCAATTGGTTGGTAATTGAATCTACACATTAAGATACAACTGAAAAAAGGAGTCCCTTGACCAAATGAATGGTAGAAGATAAAATGTATAGCCAAGGGTTGGGACCTAGTCCTGGGCCTGGCTCTTCCATTAACTAGTCTTGACCTTGGCCACCCACACTGGAACACTTCACTCCAGAAGTGAAGAAGGAGATCAAACTAAAGTCTCTGGTTCCTTCACTTTAAGATTATGTAACTATTTTTTGGCAACCTGGAATTCCATAGGGTTTCTTGCCCTGCCAAAAGGGTCCAAGAGAAAGACAAGTAAAAACTATGGCTGTGCATGACTGAGGATTGGGTCCTCGCCAGGGTGGGAGACCTGCCATGGTTTCTTTCACCAGGGTGGTCCAATTCCCCATTCTAATAACTTATCATGCTTCTCTCTCTTCACCATGGCTCTGGACCAGCCAAGGGACTAACAATATTGAATTCCCCCCACATATTTTTCTTCTGTTAGGGCAGGGCACAGGGTGTTTATGAGCCTGGCAGGCAGCCCAAGGCATTAATCAACAGTGGCCCATGTAGACCACTTTTCTCAGACTTTGTCTGTTCCAAGTCCTTTTTCATATATATAGTTTTGTGTCCTACCCACCAAATCAGGCTCTCTCTTTCCCCAGATGGTCAGCCTATAACGACATAGGCTGAAAATACTGTCACTACCCCATTGCTCAGTGCTTTGGGGACAACAAACCGGGAAACAGCGCTGGTTCTCACAGGTCCAGTGGGCCTCTGGTTTGGTTTCAGCGGCAGAACCTAGCTTTTGTTTGAGTTTGAGAAGGTTCCAGAAACTCCATTTGCTGTTTCATTTGACTACCTTCTGTTCTGTGTTTCTTCCTGCACTGACTGTGGATATTTTTACCTAGTCCAACCCTTCTGGGGTATTCCTGAGGTTAAGATAGCAGGGTTGGATTGTGTAACAGTATACCCCAGTATGCATGTATTTATGTCGTATTTCTTTTGAATGTTTAAAATAAAATGCTCAACATGAGGGTGAGGGGGGAACAGGAAACTAACACTGTGGGTTTCTTACTGTGTGCCAGGTATATTACATTCATTAACTCATTTAATGTACCATTTTATAGGAGACAAAATGGGCTCAGAGAAGGTGAGTTATTATTTGTAGCACACAGCAGCAAAGCAGGGATTCAGCCCTATTTCTGTTAATCCCCAAGTCTGTGCTGTTCCTCTTGGCTTGCTACATCCTAGGAGGATGAGAGAAGACCCCTCTATTTAATCCAGGGACAAGATATACTCTTCACTGACATGCTTCCAGTGACCCATTTCTCCAACTAGGTTCCCCCCGACCCCCAATATCCCATTCAGCTATGAATTCATCGATGGAATAGTTCATTAATGAAGTTAGCACCCTATGATCCATTTACCTCTTTATAGCTCCACCAGCTGGGGACCAAGCCTTCGCCACATGAGTCTTTTGGGGAGATGCTTCATATCCAAACCATAACACTCAATGAAATTATTACTTACCTTTTATTATTAGTGTATTCTTTTTTCAGATATTAACCTGTGAAAAAGAAATGAGCCTGAACTATCAATGAAATGTGCTAACTAACCTTCCTTCACTGGATATTTCAGGGTACCCTTCCCCCCAGTCTCTGTCTTTCTCTGTTTCTCTCCCCCAGGAACTCCCCCACCATTGGCAGGAGCTGTGGGGACCCTAGAACTGTAACTGTTGAATATGGCTGTGTATCCCAATACCTGGAGCATGTTAAAAGAGAAACAGTGGCTGTTTGTCAGTGTGTCTGATGTGGGGACCAGGAAACTTCATTTATAATTAGTGTGTATGTGATTTTCACACAAGCAGTCCTGTTGACAGATACCTGAGGAAATTTCTAGAATCTTCAGAAGTGATCAAAGGACCAGCAGCCAGCACTTATCTCAGTTCTTCAACTCAGAATGTCTGTGCTAGCTACTCAGGCTGGTTGGCCTTTGCCTTCTGTCACCCGACAATGTTCATTTGTCCTTCAGGTCTCAGGTCCTTCACAGTTCCCCCGACTTAGCCAGGTGACGTCAGGTAGCTTGGGCCAGGCTTCTTCTTGGCACCATAAAAACAGTAGTAGAGTATACTTAAAGTGATGAATGTAACTGTCCCCTCCCTCAGGCAAAAATGTCATGAGTTTGAGCTGTATCTCACCAACGCACAGGGCACAGATCTAAGCACATTTTGATAATGTAAGTTATCAGTAACTATTTGTTTTGAAGCAAGAACACAAATGTTTAGATTTTAAACAAAAGGGGAAGCAGAGTACACTAAGTTCTAAATGTTATTTTGGTAGAACAGGAAGTCAGCACAATAGTATAACAAAAACTGAGATCAAGGCTGGACATGTACTCAGCAAAATGTTAACAAGAGTTGTTTTAGTGTGATTTGTGCTCCTATACCAGAATATCTGAGAGTTGGTCATTTATAAAGAACAGAGATTTAGTTTTTACAGTTCTAGAGCCTGGGAATTTCAAGGTCAGATGGCCAACATGTGGCAAAGGCCTTCCTGCGCCATCCCATGGCAGAAGGTGTGTACAAATGACAGCACAAGAAGTCATGTGTGAGAGAGAGGCAGGAGGACCGAATTCTTCCTTTTACCAGGAACCCACTTCTGCTGAAACTAACCCACTCTGTGGTCTGGGGATGTAGCTCAGTGGTAGAACATTTGCCTAGCATTGTAAGGCCCTGGGTTTGATCCCCAGCACTGCAAGAAAGAAAACACAACAACAGTAACAAAACTATTAATCCTTTCATGAGGGCAGAGCTCTCATGACCTAATCACCTTTTGAATGTGTGTGTGGTACTGGGAATCACACCAGGACCTTACCCATGCTAGTCCAGTGCTTTACTACTGAGCTACATCCCCACTCCCTAGTCACCTCTTAATTCTTCCCCTCAATACTGTTGTATTGAGAGTTATATTTCCCACACATGAACTTTGGGGGACACATTCAAACCATGGCAATAGGTATCTCTGGAGTTAGGATTGTGAGTGTATAGATGTGTATGTATTATTGAGCTGTATATTCTATAACAGTGATTTCATGAGGTAGGGGAGGGAGAGGGAAAAGGATTGAAAAAGAAAGAGGGAAAAATGTAAAGGACAGGAAACTGAAATGGATCCTGAGGTGGTGTAGCAAAGGAGCACCATGGATTCAGTTGGGTCTCTGGAATTCTAAATGCAAAAAGGGACTGAGGAGGCTGCCTTGACAAAGCAGACCATCTGGTATCCTACACTCAGGGGAGGTGTGGCAGAAATGAGCAGGTTTCCACATTCAGCATCTCTGGCCTATGGAGGCTGCTCTTCTGACACACAGCCCAGCCCAGGACAGGCCCTTCACCACTTTGACAGATGTGTGGGCCATGTGGATCCATCTTTCTCTAAGACTGGAGAAAGTCAGTGTAGCACACACAGTTGCTTTGAACCCATTTACTGTCCAGAAATCCAGTCCATCTTTACCCTCATATCTAACTCCCTCTCTAAAGCCTGTGACTTCAGGGGTCCCCATTTCTATTTGCAATCACCTACTCTTCTTTTAATATGGGACAATGTCTTTTATTCCAATTAGAGATAAAATCCAACTCTGGTAGATTTAACTCTTGACCAAAACTCATTCTGTAATCTAATCACTTAATAATACTGTGTAAATAATTGCTATCAGAATATTTTCAGTTTTGATAAGAAAGGGGAGTTTGGATTTT